GACTTCAAAATTTCATTTTTTTCACCCCTACCCTCGACCCCCCGCCCTACCAGCCCCCACACCCCCCAAAAAAAATTTAAGTTTGTTTTTAAAAAAAAAATTCGACTTCAAAATTTCATTTTTTCCACCCCTACCCTCGAGGCCTCGACCCACCCCCTACCAGCCCCCCACCCCACACCCAAAAACAAATTTAAATTTATTTTTTAAAAAATATTTTTAACTTTAAAATTTCAATTTTTCACCCCTACCCACGAACCCCCCACCCCCAAAAAAAATTTAAGTTTGTTTTTAAAAAATATTTTTAACTTCAAAATTTCAATTTTTCACCCCTACCCTCAACCCCCACCCCCACCCCCCTACCAGTCCCCACCCCCAAAAAAAATTAAATTTGTGTTTAAAAAATATTTTCAATTTCAACAATTATTTTCTACTCTAGTAAAAATAAAAGAAATCTTTCAAAAACATTTTTCATTCATAAATCAAACACTAAAAATCTTTTTCGGAAAATATTTTCTACTCACCAATCAAACATGAGAAAATAAGTCAAAAATCAACTTGTTTTCCAAGAAAACATTTTCTAGGAAAACATTTTCCTTCATACCAAACACACCCTAAGTGTAAAATTATCCACTGATTTCATAAAATGGACAAGTATTATTGGACATTCTAAAATATTATAGTGGACAACAATTGTTGGACGGGAAGAGTAATTACTTATGTATGTAATAAATATTTGTGAATACGTGTAAAAACTTCAAGTTAGAAATATTTAATACTACCTCCGTCCACTTTAATTAGTCATGTTACATTTTTCGAAAGTCAATTTGACTAATTTCAAAGTTAAATTAGATTACATTAATTCGATATTTTAAACAAAAAAATTAGATATTTAAAAATTATACGAAAAAGTACTATGAATTATAATTTTTCACATATCAATATGATAAAAAATACATCATAAAATGTTATTCAAAGTCTTATAGTTTGACTCTAAAAACCATGACAATTAAAGTGTACAGAGTGAATGGAAACATTTTGTCATGATTTGAAAAGTTGGTTAGGTGGAATAGTAGGGTTGTGTTTCGGCTGGTTCGATTCAATTTTAAAATTTACCAGTTTAACTTATCGGTTATCAATTTCTAGACATATTAAACCGTTGTAGTCTTATAAAACTATTGATATTACCTTATTAGTTATCGATCATTATCGGGATCAATTTAACCATTAAAATTAAACATAAAAATAAAATTATTAAAAATCACTTAAAAATAATATGACAAACCAAATAAACGATATTCATAAGTCGGTAGATTTCGCTCAAGATAAGGTTGTAATTTTATTTTTTTTGGGGATAAGAATAAGCAAGCGTTTTTCTTGTGTTTTATGTTTTTTGGTCTGATAAATAACATGATAAAAGTTATGATAGCCAAATGGTTTGTATTTTGTTTTGTCTTCTATTCAGGCAGTAGGGCCCCACACACTTCCTCGGACTTTGTTCTGACATTAATTGTGTCATTATGGCACGTGCTTATCCTTTGTCACTTGCACCAAACCATATAAACGTGACACCTCCTAAATTATTTATCTCGTTTTAATTTATTTGTCTAGTTTTAACTTGATACGAAATTTAAGAAAAATGAAAGAACACTTTCATAACAGGTGATCTTAAATATTAATATTTCACAGGAAAAGTGTGAACTAATTTTTTTTCGAAAAACCAACAAAAAATATGGTGGAGTGGTAAACACTTTTTCATTCTAAATGAGACTTCTCGAGAGTTCCCTTGGGTGCGAAATTGCTTTTGTTAAGAAGCGCTTTACTCTCAATGTGTGACTTTTCAACATAAATTTGGATTTAGTCAGACTTCAATATCGATATCGAACACTAGATGGAGAATAAAATAAAATTTTAAAAAAATACTATTAAAACTAGAGCAAGATAAAATAAGCAAATTGAAACGAAAGGATAAAAATCGTACCTTACGGATAAAATATACTATTAAAAAGTTATTATTATTCACTAAAATAATACTCAATAGCTATTTTTATCATACATATTCCGATTGAATTAGCGAGAATAAAAAAATAATAATGTTTTTACAAGAAAGAATTAGAAAGCTTTTCGATATTTTAATAAAAATCTATTTTTTTATCATGTATTTTTTTAGTGAAATGATTCGGTTGATATGAAGGTGAAAAATCATATTTTAAAACATAAGTTTTCTATTGATATGTGATGGAAAAAAAACTCTATTTCTAGTAATGAGTCAAACACGGTTTATTATTTAGATCTATTTTGATTTTGAAATTTCTTAATTAGAAAAATACTTCCAATGTAACTATAATTTTTTTTTAAATAATTATTTCAAATAAAATTGCAATCGGCCAATCTTGCACATACCATGTCATGCACAGCCAACCCCCCTCGTGAACAACTCATGTCACACCTAAATATTATCTATTTTTAAAAAAATAAATTAATTAAATATGAGGTCATTGTGTCTTTTTAAATAAAAATAAAAATACTAGCAACATAATTATTAGGATGTTTGAAAGAAAGATTATAAACATTTAAATTAAATATTGCAATATTATAAGACTTACTATAAAGTATTGTGATTTTAATTTGAGAATTTTTATATAATAGTTTTATTCTCCATATCTTAATTCCCTGTCCTTTTGTTATCTCTTGTACCTAGCTACTTTCTTATGTAATAGAAAATTCAAGAATATTTTATATGAGAAAAAATATTTTATTAGAATATACCATCATTTTTATGATTATTGTGAATTCTCATAGAATTTTCTTAGAGGTTAAGGAAAATGTGATTAAGTTAAATGTTAATTCAAAGTCATGTTTCTAATGTGAGCTCTATCTTCTTTCTATGGTATATGCTTTTTGGTGTGATATATTATATTCCCTTCTCCACATGAGTTGTGATGATTGGAATTGTCTTTAGTGTTGTGTTATTTTTAATTAAATTATATATTGGAATAACCTTAATTAAATAATGAGATTGTCAATAATAAAAATAATTATAATAAAATGATGAGACAATTGATCATACTATTCCAGGAATAACGGTAATTAAAAAATGAGACAGACGATCATAGAATAAAATAAAATGAATAGTTACTTGTAAACTTAGTCGTAATAAAATAATGAGACAATTGATCATAAGAATAAATGGAACTAGTAGTTATAAGAAAATTGTAATAAATGATGACACAATCAAATATAAGAAATACTATGACAGATGATCATAAGAATAACCACAATTAAATGAGACTATCAGTTATAGGAATAGTCATTGTTAGATGGTGAAAAAATCAATTATAAGAATATATAGTTATAACTAAATGATGAGACGGTTGATCATAAAAACAATCGTAACTAAATGAGATAGTCAATTATAAGAATATGGAATTATAAAAATAATCGTAAACTCATTATAATTTTTTTTAGACAATATAGATTATATATAAAAACAATCATGATTAAATGAGACAATCAAATATATAAATAATTGTAATTACACGAGAAAGTTCATAGTTATAAGAATAATCTTAATTAAATAATATAGTCGAAATAAAAATAATCTTAATTAAATAGTGAGACACTTGATTATAAATATAATTATAATTTAGTGAAATCGATAATTATAAAATTACCATAGTTAAATGATATGACTATTGATTATAAATATAATTATATCGTACTAACCAAATAATTAATTATAAGAATAATCGTAACTAAATGTGACAATCAACAATGTTACGCTTTTGCCAACGTGATTCCCTTTGATATAACACGATCAAAAAGTCTTCTATGTTGAATTTTTCTAAATTATCGATTAAAAGAATATAGATTATAATATATGTAAATGAATGAAACATTTGATAATATTATATATGCTTATGTCATCTTTTCTATATATATAATTGAGGAAGAGGGAAGTCATACCATTTATTTAATTTAGAATTTGTGCATGACAATTTTTAAACTTTTGGTTCAACTATTTGAAAATTAAGTTAGATATTTCTTAATTTTATCTATCGTAATCTCAATAATAATATATTTACGGTAATTCTATAAGTGAAATTTGAAGAAGATATTATGTATGCAGATTTTGTTCTTATCTTAAAAGATAGAAAGACGATTTCTAGTAGACCTACTCAAGATTAATAATATAAAATAGTTCATAAAAAATTAATTAAAACGTAAAAAATCATGATAAAAACTAATTAAGAAAAGTAGGATAAACAGATTTGGTGACTTTGCTAGATTTTTGTGTTGTTTTTGAGTTCTGATCGAAGTAATAATTATTAAAATTAAAGTTACCATCACATTATTAAATGTAACTTATTAACTACTTTATTGTTAATGAATTTCGTATCATGAACAATTTTTACATAAAACCTAATTGGTGTCACGTAACTTTTCGGTACCATAATGAGATTGTTGAATTGGAAATCGTAATTCATTTCTAAACTAACATATTTATCTGAGTAATTCTTGACAAAATAAATAAATTTTTAACGTCACATTATTATATATAACATACTAATAATTCTTACACCGATAAACTTCTAGCTATAAATAATTCCCGCGTAAAATTTTACTGGTGAGCCACGTAATTTTCAGGTACAATTATGAGAGTAGTAATATAAAAATAATATTTCCATCATATCATAATACGTAAAAATAGCTCATTCGATTCATAAATTAATTCAACTCACGATTCGCTCCTAAACTTGCGTACTTTATTATCCAAACAATACTAGATAGAAAAAATAATTTAAAATATTATAACGTGAAAAAATGATTTTTTTTTTCTTCAAAATGTTTTTAAAAAAATTATTTAAAAAAATAAATTATTTTAAGGACACCAGCTAGATGATGATTGTATTATTACCTAGTGTGATTTTGAAAAGTTCCTGTGTACGCTGAGCTGTACGAAATTACATAAATCTTCATTTTTTTAATTTATATATATATGCTCCGTAAATTCTGTGGACAGAGTCGCCGGAGCTGTTCCATTTCCGATCTGTAAACCCCGCCATTCGCAACTCTCCTCTACCGCCGGGGAGAATTCACCGTCTCACCGGTTAATCTCTTCTTCATTTCTTCATCATTTTTTTCTTTGTGATTTATCAAGTCGGTTTTATTTTTTCATTCATTTTTTGAACTTGTGATTTTGATTCTAAAGTTTGTGAATTCTGTTTGGAATAGCTTTGAAGCATTTAGATTTTTGTAGGAGTGAGTTGACCTGTAAATTTTATTTTATTTTTCGCTTTTTCAGTTTTATGAGCAACTGATTGGTTTTGAATTTTGTGATTAGGAACATGGAGATGGAAATAGATAGCAAGGAAAGGCATGAAATCAATTTGCAGCCGCCGAAAGAGAACAATTTTTATCTGCAGAAGTTTCGGCTCTACGAGACTCGCTCGGTATATACTTGGAAACGTTTTTTGTCATTTCATTTCTCTTCTGGTAGTTTAGAGACGGAAAATTTACATTTCTATCTCGAAATGTTTGTATGTTTTATATTTGTGAAATTGATGAAGTTTGACCAACACTTTAAAAATGTGTGTTTTTGATCGTTTTGCGTTGTGTTTGAGTATCTGAATTTTTATTTAAACTGATTTTAGTTGGATTTATGGATAAAAGTTAGTTGATTGACTCTGGAAGAGAAAGGAAATGGGAAGGAGAGAGTGATTGTTTTTGTTGAATGTAGAGTTGTACTATTCGATTTTCGTGTGTTTATTTACATCTCTTTGTGTTAGATTGTTGGAGTATGGTTTCAAATGTATAACCATTACTTTTTTCAATCTCAAGAGATATATTGATTTCACTTTTTGGATAAACTTTAGTTATGTTCAAGCTCGTGTTTGCGTACTAGCTTTGATGGCTCAAGTTGCGCTCTCATGGTTGAATGTGAAAAAGAATGTTATGTTCAAGCTCATGTGTGAGTCCAACTTGCTAGGTGCATTTAACCTGTGCAAGCTTTGTGCCTCTTTTTCCCTAGTTTTCTAGTTCCTGCATTAATGAATGCATCAATAATGAGTAATAAATGCTATTGAGTATGGATTTAGGTACCATCTCACATGTTTTTAACCTGTTTAGTGTTCAACATATTTATTCTATGAGAATCTAGGACTATAGGTTTGAAATGATATGCGGTTTTAGTTATTTTTCCTATTTTGTTAGGTTATGTTTCTCTCTTATGCTGAACTGACTGACTCAACCTAAATATGTCATTATGCGCAATTTTATAGTCATTAATTATGCCTTGTCGTTATACTAAATGCTCGATTATATTTAACTTATTTTTTATATACGGCAGAACTTTTACATGATAGGATGGGATAATAGCAAACTATTTGGAAAGTATTAAAGATTGATAGATTAGAATCCTCAGAGCTACTCATTCATGAAGATCCCACCATATATTCAGAACGTGAATACTTAGACCTCCTAAGCAGAATACATGAAGGAAACAAGTCTACTGGAGGGCTTAAATTCGTTTGTCTCTGCTATGGAATTATTGGTATATTATACTTCCGAAGTGTCGCTTTCTTTCTATATATGTGAACGCATCTAATGTTTCTTTTCTGTCTTAGGTTTTATAAAGTTTTTGGGAGCTCATTACTTATTGGTTATCACTGAAAGAAGAGAGATCGGAAAGATACGTGGTCATGTTATTTACGCTATCACTGAGAGCGAGATGTTCCCGGTTCCCAATTCTACGGTGCTTTCCAAAATGGCGTATTCTAAGGATGAGAACAGGTCTTTCATCAATTCTGCATGTCAATGTAAACTGTACATAGTATTTTTAGGAAGGCATTATAATGGAACGATTACGGAACCACTTCTAGTTGTGTTTTAATATTCTTTTATTTGGATGATACTATCTTATTTTGACATCTGTAAGTAGTCCTATGTTGCTGAGGTAATTGCTACACTATTTTAGCAATACACCTTGTAACGTATTCATTGTCCAATGGATTTCATGTTGACCGATTCACTCAGATGCTCACGGGATGAGTATTCAGAGAATGTTTATAGATGATCCTTTTATAGCTAAGTCATTCGTAGAGCCTAGTGCCAGTTCATTTCCTGCAAATGTACAGGGGCAAATTACAGTGGTGTTCTGATGTTATTTTTTACATGTTGAATGAGACAAGGTATCTTCAGGATTCTAGCAACACAAATATTGAATTTTTTATTTCAAAATTTTTTCCTCTACCCTTTATCTATTTGTTGCATCAAAAGTGATATTTACTTAACTTTTTTTCTTTTGGTTCCTTTTTTGTTTTTTTTCTTGTTTCGGTGAAATAGATACCTAAAGCTCCTGCGCAAGATGGATCTCACAAAGGACTATTTTTTCAGCTACTCCTATCATATAATGCTTAGCTTTCAAAAGAATCTGAGCAACTCAAAGACAGGTGTCGCCATTTATGAGACAATGTTTGTATGGAATGAGTTCTTGACTCGAGAAATTCACAATCAACTCCAAAATACTCACTGGACTGTTGGATTAGTCTATGGGTTTTTTAAGCAGGTATTTCTGCTGAAAATATTCTTTTAAATTTGTACACATAACTGCGAAATCTGAATCTTTGCTCAATATAGCTGGGCAGATATGGCTTTTCGATATGATACCATATTTGGATGTGTACCGTTTGTGATTTTATCTCAGAATATATCTTTGTGATCATTTATGTTTGCTTTACTTATTTAATGGCACCATAAGTAGGATCATACTTTCAACCGTTTATGATTTTCTTGTGTTTTGTGGAACAGGCTACATTTAAAATTTCTTCGCAAGACTTCATCTTAACCCTCATTGCTAGACGCTCTCGCCATTATGCTGGTACCAGGTTCGTATAGAATCTTATGTCATCCTTTATTTGCTATTTTAAGTCTTGGCAAGTGGCCTGGAACTAACGTAACACCAAATTATGAAAATAGTTCTTTTATCTCTTAGGTGTTTTAAATTACTTTTCATGTGAATTCTTAATGTGAGTATATAAGTGACCTGAACATCAGTTAGTGCTTAACCAAGTTTTGTTCCTTCTGTTTAACGCAGATATTTAAAAAGAGGAGTAAATGAGAAGGGCCGTGTAGCAAATGATGTTGAGACAGAACAAATTGTATTTGAAGATGTACCTGAAGGGTCCCCTTTTGGAGCAACTTCTGTTGTACAGAACCGTGGTTCAATACCTCTTTTTTGGTCTCAAGAAACTTCACGCTTGAAAGTGAAACCTGACATCATATGTACGACCAATAGATACTTAAGATTTTTTTGAGTATTTTTTTCTCAATTTTCATTGACTCTGTTATCTTTTAGTGTGTAGGAGGGACTTTAAGTTTGAAGCCACCAAACTTCACTTTGAAGATCTTGTTCAAAGATATGGAAATCCAATTATTATATTGAACTTGATTAAGGTAACATTTTTCAGGATTCAGTCCATTATTTTACTCTTCGAGTACAAGCAGTACTGTGATTTTTTCTGACACTTCCCCCTTGCATTGTTTGTTATTTTTATGTTAAACAGACTCTTGAGAAGAGGCCCAGAGAAATGATTCTTCGTGCAGAATTCGCTAATGCTATTGAGTTCTTAAACAAAGATCTTCCTGAGGACGACCGCTTGAGATTTCTTCACTGGGATATAAACAAACGCCCGAGAATGTATGTTGTTGCTGCATCTCCTTTTCATTTTATCTTTGTAGTTGTTCTTATTTTTGAATCTATCGTACTGATCTATGGGTTTGATGACAATATGGCATCTCTCTTACAGCAAAGCTAAAATGGCCTTGATACGTCTAAGTGATGTGGCTGCTAATGCTTTGGAGTTAACTGGCTTTTTACACTGTCAGCTTATCCCTACTTCAAGAACTGAGGAGTTGCAAAAATTGTCGCCCGTCAGGTAAGTTGCCAAACAAAATGATTCTTTTGAAGATTTTAGTTTGTTAGTTTGTGAGAGTTGATTGTTCTCAAATTGTCATTTCTTGGGAGAATCTCGCAAAACTGTTTGTGCTATGGAGCTTCGATATTTGATTGGCTTTTCTTGATATTTTTGCATTCACCATGTGTAGGTTGGGGTATATGTTGAGGCATAACTTAAATTTAGCCTCGGTGTGGTGCATTTAATTATATATAGTTTTGTTGCAATCTAGTTGATATGGGGTATTTTTCAGTAGTTTATATGGGTTCAATTCGTGTTTGCTGCTCTTTCAAGAGCATCGAAGCTCTTTTTTATTTTCTCGTCACGTCGATCATATTTGATGCAGTTGTGATGATAGAGGAGACCATGTTAAAGAGGACCTTGACGAAATGGATGTTGAAATGGGCAATGAGTGTGACAAACTGCGTGGAGCTTACTGTGTCAACGTTTCATCAGTCCAAAATGGAGTCTTAAGAACGAATTGTGTAGACTGTTTGGATCGCACAAATGTTGGCCAGTATGCCTATGGACTGGTCGCTCTGTCCCATCAGCTGCATGCCTTAGGCTTTGTAGATGTAGACAACATCAACATTGATTCACATTCTCCTTTAGCACAAGACCTAATGCAGATCTACGAAGAAATGGGAGACACTCTTTCACTGCAATATGGTGGCTCTGCTGCACATAATAAGGTAATCTGTCTTTCAGTCCATTGAATTTCTGATGCCCTCCTTTTAAGATATCTTCATTTAAGTGGATGGGATGGTGGGACAACTTTTGTTTTTTGATGATCTGCCATACTGATGAATATGAACCCAAACAGGTATTTTCAGAAATGCGAGGTCAATGGAAAGCAACAACAAGGTCTCAAGAGATCATTCGATCGGTCCAGCGTTTCTACCGTAATGCGTACATGGACCCTGAGAAACAAGACGCCATAAATGTGTATGTGAATTATTTCCTTTACGATAAGTTCTGTCAGGCTGTTATTCCAAAAAGATACGTGCAACTTTAAAACATTACCATTTCCAGGTTCTTGGGCCATTTCCAGCCACAAGAGGGTGGGCCAGCTCTGTGGGAATTGAATCCAGACCAGCATTATGATGTTAGGAAGCATGGATCAAGTCCAACTGCAGAAAGATCTAGGTATGAAAGCCATTACAAGGCAGACTTAGCGATCGCTTGTTTCTCTCTTCTAGATTGTTTTTTTTACTGTTTAAAGGTCACTCTGTTGAATCACTATTTGGTTGTTATAGTGTTATGTCACTGTTTTATGCCTGTCATTACTGTAAGCCTGTCTTGTAATCATCTAACTGATATGAAGGTGTAACCATCTAACCGATATGAAGGTTAAAGGTGATTCTGATTACGTGTCCACCGCGTAATTAAAGCTGTCTTTCAAGTAATCTGGTGAAGTATCCAAAACAGAAAGAAACTTTTTCTGTTTGCCAGACACAATTGTATCAAAGCTGTTAGCAAAGCAGTTTGTTAATACGCAGGTCATATATTAAAAGATCGCTATCAGAAGGAAACATAAGTTGTGGAAGCAGTTCTCAGGGTAAAGACACTGACATAGATCAGACTGAAGACACTTACCAGCCTTTGACTGAACGTAGCAAAGGTTGTAAGGGTATTTCGGAGTCATCACCAGAAATCTCTACTTGTGACAGTGATATTCCGTTTACCAGGTAGCTCGGTTTAGATTTTCTGTGCTTCATAAATTCATTTGAAGCAGTAACATATTCAGGTGATTCATGATGTCGGATATTTCTTCATCGAATGGCAGCTGACTGCTACTTGCGGTATAAATATTGTTAATGGCAATATGCAAAGATAATGTATGATTTCTTACCAAAAAAGAACATACCTTAACCTAATGGCTGTATGTGAAGGTAAGGTATTGCCATGTTGCATCTTGAAAAATTCTGTTTGCTCAAAGACTTTTGTTGTAACTGAGGTCTTAACATGTGATGTATGTTTTCAAACTTTTTATTCTTCATCTTTGACTTGGGTTGATGTGATGATATTTGGAAAAATATTCCTACTTCGATAACTCATCGCTATCGGTGCTTTTCTTCTTGTTATAGGTACAACCCCTCAATGTCAAGCAGACAGCTTTTCCATGATATACAGTTAGATCAATGTCTCGGAAGTAGTAGCTTTAAATTTGATGAAGGTGCTTTGTTCGATTCCTCAAATTTTTTAGATGTTGATTGGCTCTCTTCATCGGGAAATTCTTGTGAAGAAGAAACATATGACAGGTAAACTTCGTGTTTAATGACCAAATGCACCACCTTTATACACGTCAGATTGAACGTTTTAGGAAAACATGGTCTTAATGGCCTTGTTTGTTATATTAGTAGTACTTTTTTTGTTAAATCTTAAGCTTATTCTGTTTTTTGCAGATCTTCGATCATAGGTTCTCCATCTCGGGGCATGTCATCGGATAGCATGACAAATGAGCTCAAAGCAGAAACAAACGTTTCAGCTCCTAATTCTGGGGCAAGCTTGAAGGTCAGTTCACTCAGAACTTAGAATAAGCTTGATCGAACCTTGTTATCATCTTCTTTATACATGTTATGTGGACTAATTCCTCTTCCTTTCCAACTTTCTTATTTTAGAAGGTGCAGACTCCTGGAGAAATCAGTGTTGATGCTAAAGTGAGTAAGGAGATACACCGGCAATACTCTGAGAAGTTTATTCGTTGGGTTAACGAAGGAGATGTGCTTTTTCATTGAAGTTCAGTAAAGTTCTGGTCTGGTCTCTTTTTGGAGCTATACATTATTTTGGACAGTTACATTGATAGATCGCATCCCAAGGACGATGTGGATACATACAGAAAAAATAAACAAGGTGATCAACATTACTAGGATAAAGAATAGTAGCCTATACAAAGCTATTAAGTTATATTAGGGAAGTGTAGGTGTAAATTGAAAAGGAACATGTTCTTTTCAGTTGTTTTTGGATCCTCTTTTGCCCAGACCAGCAACTTTTGTATCTTTCAGTTTCTGTAAATACTTTTATTACTTTAGAAATTGAAGCTGGATTATTCATTTCGACGTGCACTATTTTGAATGATTTCGATCTTGAAAGTCACGGATTATAGTTACCATCTCATCGTAGTGATGGTAATTGTGAATCGTGATTGTTTAGGTAATACGCGAGCTTCTTGGAGGAAGCATCATTCTGGATATATTTCATGTGTAGTGGTAATATTTACAGGTGATGATCGGAAACCTCTCTACCTTTTCCAAGGTAGGAGTGAGGTTTGTGTACACTCCATCCTCCCCAGATCCTACTTATGGGATCACATTGAGAATGTTGTTTTTGTGATTGGTTTTTCTTTTTTCCTTCCATTTTTTGTGTTATATATTGTTGATACATGTAGTTCATTCTGAAGGTGATGAGAGGCTAGTTTACTTGACCAAGTTGTGTTAAGAACTCAATTAGCTGTTTTGTACCAAAACATGCATCAAACATTTTTCTGTCAACCAATTGCATATCTCAATTCTAGACCAGTTAGTGTAAGTTAATACTAAATGAGTCGTTTTTGGTAGGGTGTATAAGAATAGCGTTGAATAAGGTGTATTTGTAATGATGTATATTACTTATGCTGAGATCATTTTTAAAAGAAAGTATTTGTTTGCAAAAAATATCTTCCACAACTAAGGTGGAATGATTGTGGAAAAGGTTTTGAGCGATAATTGTATTTTTAATTATACTAATGCATGCATTAAACTTTTTCTCCTTGTTAATATCATGGTTTACCATGTAATGCTTGCGGTTGATGATTGATATTAGAACGCACCCTCTTGTTTATCCTTTACATTAGGGATAATTGCACTTTTGGTCTCTTAATTATTGATGAATTTTAGTTTTTGTTCTTGTAATATTTAGATATAAGTTTATTTAACTTTTAGTTGACTAATTTTTGGTCCATATAGCCTCTTATACGCTTTTCTATTAGTAAAGTATTAGTACTAATTTCACCCTTATAGTGTTATAGAATCCACCACATTATGCTTTCTTGGGGACTTGAACTCACAATCTTAAGGTTGGAAGTGAAGACTGATTACCATCCAATCAATTCTCCCTTGTCTCTCATTTTATTTTTAATTTTAATTTTAACTTCATTCACTTCTTTCAAATTTAACTCATGTAGAAATAATATATTATATGATTATTTATACACATACACAAATGCGTGAAATTTACCACCCACAATTCATTCAAATGTAGATTATATTTTAATTAAACTGTATATTTTTTTAAAATATCTTTAAATATATTCAGTACGATTTTGTCATTTTATTTCATTTATTTTTATAAATTTTAAAAATTATTCAGTACAATTATAAATTTATATAAAATTACACTTTTGATTTTATTAAAAAAAATGAATAATCGGTTCAATTCGATTAGTAAATCAATTGTTTTGAAAAAAACATCGATACCCATAATTATAGTACTTCATCATAATATATTTGAAATCCTAGTTGGTTCATTTCTTTCATTTGTGCTTTAATTTTTTAGTGTATTTCAATTTTCACACTGATGGAAAAAGTAAATAGAAATTCATGAAATATTTCACATCCACTACTAAAAAACTGCTAAAAAACGACGGACGACGTCGCTCCAAAAAGCAACACCATTTGCCACACTGTCCGTCACTTTTTATTAAAAATAATTAATTTTTAAATTATTTTACAAAAAGCGACGGACGACATCTCTTAGTCCGTCGTTTTTTTTTTTGTGGATTTTTGCGCCAAATATATATAAAATTAATAATTATTTATTTCATATATATAGCAACGCCGTCTGTCGCTTTTATTAAAAATAATTATATTAATAAAAATATTAACGAAGTTGTCCGTCGCTTTATATTTATTTTATTTTATTACTTATTTTTTTATTATAGCGATGAACGACATCTTTATGTCAGTCGCTTTTAGTCAAAATATACGGTCAACTATTTTTAAAAAAGCGACGGACAGTGTCTCTTTGTCCGTCGTTTTTTGGTCAAAATGTTGATCAACATTTTAAAAGAAAAGCGACGGACGGTTTTCATTAAATATCTTAAATATCAGACGCGATTTTTCCCCATTTTCCCTCTCTTCCTTCTCTCTTCTTTCTCTCTTCCTTCTCTCTAAAGATTTCGCCGCCGCTGCTGTCAACGTCGCTGCCGGAATCGTTGCTGCCGTTGCTGCTTCCTCTCTCCATTGTCTCTTTCTCCATTAATTTAAGGTTAGGGTTTTATCAAATTAGTTTTAAATTTTTTCAATTTTAGTTATATTTGATTATGTTAACTAGTTTATTGGATTTGTATTTTATTGAATGATTGATTGTGTTTGATAGTTAATGAATTAGGGTTTTTAGGATTTGGGTACTAGTTTGAATTTGAAAATCTTTAATTTGATTGTGAATTGGGATTTTTTAAAATTTGATTATTGTTAATAATTAGTAAATTGAAAATTTGAATTTAGAAGTTAGATATTGATGAAGTTTGATTGTTTAAATGTCATGAATATATAGGATGAATGTTTGAATGCCATGAATATATAAGTTTTTTTTAATTAGAACTTGAATATATATAAGTAATTGTCGGATTAGAAGTTTATATATAACTATTTTTTTAGATTAGATATGAATGTTGAATTTGAACTTGAAACTTGAATATAACTAATTCTTGGATTAAAAGTTTATATATAACTAATTTAAAAATTATATGAACTTGAATTTAATTAATTAATTAGAACTTGAATATAAATAATTTTTTATTAGAAGTTTATATATAACCAATTTTAGAGATTATATGAATTTGAATTTAGAACTTGAATATAACTAATTCTTGGATTAGAAGTACATGAATATAACTAATTTTAGAACTTTGATATGAACTTGAACTTAGAACTTGAACTTGAAATTAGAACTTGAATTTAGAACTTGAACTTGATCAACTTGAATTTAACTAATTCTTGATGACCTTAATTAATTAGAACTTAATAATTAAACTTAATTAGAACTTTGGACTTAATTTATAAATAACTTGGACTTAATTAGAATTAATATAATTAATTTTTTGAAATCTTAAACTTAATTAAAATTTATGAATTAATTAAGCTTGAACTTTGTAGATCTTGAAATGTAGTATTTATAAACTAATTAATTAGATATATAAGTAATAATAAATATAATTATTAAGTAATTATTATAAATATATATTAACAATGAATTAATGTAGTAAAATTATTATTAAATTTAATTTATAATATAATTGAATATCTATATTTTTGTGGATGTATAATATGCATTATGAAACTGGTGTTGGTTTGAAACCTGAGTTTATTGACGGTGTTAGAGATTTTATTGAACATACAATGACTCTTGACATTTTCAAGAATAATGGATTGGTTAGTTGTCTTTGTAGTGCATGTAAGTGCTTAAATTTTTTTAAACCAGATACAGTTATGGTTCATTTGTACCATGATGGATTTAAGCCTAGATATTTTGTATGGATTGATCATGGAGAAAGAGATGGATTGGATGGTATGTTTTATAATTCAATGGATGCTGATGAATAAAATATGTTTGCACCACATGGTCAAATTAGGGTTGAACATGATAGGGTTCATGAAATGATCAATGATGCTTTCGGGGTTCAAGGTGGGATGAAACCCGAACAATATTTTGATGAAGCTCCTAATGAAAAAGCAAGACATTTTTATGATCAATTAGAAGAATCTAGGCGTCCACTATGTGAAGGGAGTCCGCATTCTGCCTTGTCAGTTGCGGTTATATTAATGAATATTAAATCAAATTGGAATGTTCCTAATGCGGCTATGGACTCAATGGTTGATCTTTTGGGTGAACTAGTTAATTCGGAATTTAACATACCTAAGAACTTCTATCAGGCAAAGGGTTTGGTTTCCAAGTTAGGATTGACGTATGATAGAATTCATTGTTGTGTTAATAGTTGCATGTTGTTTTACAAGACTGATAGTGAATTATAAAATTGTAAGTTTTGTAGACATGCTCATTATAAGAGGACTCCGGCTAGAAAGATGGTCCCAGTTAAGGCGATGCATTATCTACCTCTCATTCCTAAGTTAAAGAGGTTGTATGCATCGATGAGGTCTGCCCCACATATAAGATGGCATCGTGAATATAAAAGGCCGCCGGGTGTCTTGTCTCATCCATCTGATGGTGAAGCATGAAAGCATTTTGATAATGTATATCCTGATTTTGCTAGTGAACCAAGAAATGTTAGATTGGGATTGTGTGTAGATGGCTTCACACCATTCTCTAATGCTGCTTCGTCTTATTCATGTTGGTCGGTATTTCTTACTCCGTATAACCTTCCTCCTGAAATACGCATGACCAGTCCCTACATCTTTCTAAGTTGTGTTATTCCAGGTCCCCGTAATCCAAAAGGTTTGATTGATGTCTATTTACAACCATTGATAGATGAGCTCAAACAAATGTGGTTTGAAGGCATTTTGACTTATGATATATCAACTAAGAAGAATTTCGTTATGCGTGCTTCTTTAATGTGGACTATTAATGATTTTCCTGCATACGGAATGTTGTCTGGTTAGATGACAGCTGGAAAGCTAGCACGTCCGTATTGCATGGAAAATAGTAAGGCATTCACTTTAAAGCATGGTACAAAAAATACATGGTTTGATTGTTATTGTCAGTTCTTGCCAATGGACCATGAGTTTAGAAAGATGAAAAATGCATTTAGGAAAAATAAGGTTGAATGTGACCCCCACCTCCATTACTCACAGGGCATCAAATTTGGGAGAGAGTTTCCCAATTACCTAAAGTTATAGAAG